TGAATCCTGCAGCCCTGCACAGCTGTCAGACCACAACAGGAGGTGGACTGAGAGAGAAAGAGAGAGACAGGGGGGAAAAACTGTTTTTTTTTTTTCTTTCAAGAAAGGCCTTTAAACTGAATGCTTCCATGTCTCATACAGAGGCTTGTGTTTTTTATGTCAGAGAGGTGATCAATTCAAGCTGCATCTGCACTCTGACGGGCTATAGATCATCTGTCTCACTCGCAAAATAAAAGCTTTGAGCTTTTGATGAAAATGCTAATTTCTTCTCCACTGCGTGCAGCAAAGCAAAACTTTTCTTACTTTTAACAGTTTTCTCTTTCTTAAAACCTCCCCTTTCTTCTCCTTGGCATATCATTGATGCTTCATGTAACTCTTTCTTTTCTTGGCATCAAGTGGTCTCTCGTCAATGCGGCCTCATAAGTGCAGAACAACTTTTGCTCTTTCATTCCCTCCCCGTTCATCGTTCGCTGTGTGAATTCACTGTGTGAATTCCTCACAGGATCAGACCTGCTTTTTATGCTCCACTGGTTTTCACTCAGAGGCAGTTCAGGAGGGGAGAGAGGGATGGAGGGCGCCTTTAGTAACGACCCAAAACTCGACAGAGAAACCGTGAGAGTTTTGTGAAAAAGTGAGGTGAAAATACAAAAAAAAGGATCCCAGTAAAAGCAATAGTGAGACATAATCAAGAATAGGAGACATGCAACACGGAGAGGGTAGAAGGGGAAATAATGCAGGAAAAAAAAAAAAGGTCATAATTTTTGCCAGGGGATTTGCAGTTGCCCAGACAACTAACAAAGCAGAGCTTGTTGGACGACATGCACAACAAAAACCAGCTGAAAAGCGAAGGGGAGGGCTATTGGGAGAAGAATAACATGAGCTGGGAGTTACTGCACTCATCAGCAGGACAATTTCTGGGAATCAGTTCAGTTTCTTGATGATGTCATTGGATAACAACTTTGGTACTTGCAGGGCTTTCATTTGTAATATCTCTTAAATCGCAGACTACTACAGCTATTCGATTTGCTGTATTGATAAGAAGAAAAACTGGGGAAGAAACAAGATGTTACTCTGAAATGAAAAGTGATGAGAGAATGCTAATGATGTGCAAAGAGAAAAAAAAAGTAATCAACTTTTCTGTTTTAGGCTTATAAAAGTGGGAAACTGGTGGTGCGTGGGTTTGTTTGTGTTTGTGTGTGGATGTGTTTGGGGTGAAGAGCTTATGAAAATATGATAGCAGTGAAGCAGAAACAAGGAAAGGCTGATATAGAGTGAAAATTATAAAAGATTTAGAGATTTAGCAGAAACATAATGCATTTTCGAATCGATGCCCAAGGATGTCAAAAAATATTTTTTTTGGAAAATCATAGTATGTTACATACAACCGACCAGCAACTTCAGTTCTTCCGTTATGCCCCCATTTTGTTTTTGTTTTAACTATTTTTTTATTCTACTTTTTTGTAATTGCAGCAATAAACTTCCATGTATTTGAATGGGAATTTATCAGTATAAAGCATAGTGCATTATTTATAAGCGAACGAAAAATGTTTTTACACACAAAGCTGAAATTTGGTGCATATTTGCAGCACTGCACCACTACAGCACTTTTAATTGTATCTTGTATGTATTATGTGTTATGTATTGTTTTTATGGCATTGTTGTAAAGCACTTTGGGTACCATTTGGCTATTGAAAAGGGCTATACAAATAAATTTGATTTGATTTGTATTCATTTCTCCTTAATCAGATACTCATAAATAAAATATTATCCAATTGCCCTCAACAAATGCATAATTAGTGATTAGAGATTATCTGTGTGTGGTTTTATTTTAGCATATGCATTAATCCAAATTATCTGAGGTACTTTGCAACTTAAGTTACAACTGGTCTCTTGATATTTAATGCTTGTAGATATTTACTCCAAAAGCTCCATGTTGGTAATTCCAGCTTCAGGTGCTTCTAAAAAGTATCCACCCAGGGTGAAACAGATATGCATTTCAGTTTTTCTTTGTTTATTCTGTAAACCTGACACCTAACTACCTTTTATTCATTTATTAAATAAAATATAACATACAAAATCTTTGTAGATGTATCGTGATAGTTTGTGAATGTTAAAAGAGTATGAATTCTTTTGTTAGGTGTTTATGTTAAGATGACATTGTACAGAAAACATTGAGTCCATCATCTAGAGAAATTGCAAAACTTATTTTCAAGATTTCATTTGACAGTGCAAAGAACTTTAAACTCTAACACAGGCTTTGCAAAGAGCAAAGAAAGCACAAAGTCTTTTCAAATAGTCTCCCTTCTCTTTATCCAAGGCGGAGCTCAGGGTGTGTAAATGACCTTCATTGTCCCTGGTTGCTGATTGAGCCCCAGCTAAAGTTTCCCTCTTCTCTGCCAAACAAGTACCAACAAGCACTAAGCTAGACTGTTTGAGTCTGTCTTGTGTTAATTTTTTTAAGTTTATGCAGCATAGAAACGTACTCACATGGCTCTTTTTTAACCCAAAATCCCATCTCAGTCACGCTTTGCCTCAGGGTCCCATATCAACAACTGCTCAGGCTGCAGCTCTACATTTCAGCTTTGCTGCAAACCCTTCATTCTGAGTCATTATAGCCAAGAGGCAGTAGTGGTATACAGTTACTCCACCAATACTCTGTAATAAACTCGCCTTTAGAGGTAAATACCAAGGTTGAGTACAGGGTCTACAATGAATGGGCCAAGCATGATCCAGGGACTTTTACTACTGGTTTGTTAAACAGTTTAAAAGTTTATAAATCAACTTCAATGAGCAGCTGAAACAATTTCCTTTACATACAACAGGGTAACTGCCCCCAGATCATTTGTCATACATCTAAATCGCAGAGGTGCTAAACTGAAAGTGTCCCGCTACACCACACATAGTGTGAAAGCACACCATTAAGATCAACTTGGTCTTTTAAATCTTTTCTGTGCGTTCCTTGGTCTGTAACTACCTTTGCAATTTTGTTGTAATTTCAGCTGTCCAAATATAAAAAATAATACGCTCTTTATGTACTTTAGCTCTATGACTTCATATATCATGTTTCATGATTTACATTTCACATCTATTTTAGAGAGATTTATCTTTTTCAATCAACTAAAGTTAGCTCTTTACCTAATGGTGGCAAAATTTTAGCATATCAGCTATTATTAGAAAAGCAAAGATGGATGGATGGATGGATGGATGGATGGATGGATGGATGGATGGATGGATGGATGGATGGATGGATGGATGGATGGATGGATGGATGGATGGATGGATGGATAGATGGATGGATGGATAAATGAAATCACCTCTTGTTAGGTAACAAGCTAGGGAAAAGTTACCGTCTCATACATTATTCTAATTCTAATTTCTAGGCAATGGGCCGCCCTTAACAGACTAGATAAAATCCTGGTAACACACATGCAATACTCTAGGATTTTAACACTTTAAGTTAAGAAGGCTTTTAAGCTAGCGGTAAGGAAATCTGCACTTAAGAAAACTTCTCTTGATCCAAATGACTTGATTACTAATATTCTCATCATATTTAAAATTCTTGAGGACATTGGTGCTAAACAAGTGTGTGAGCACTTAGACCATAATAACATTTTTCAAAACCTACTGTCAGGTTTTAGAGCTCATTAATAGCATTAAAACAGCACTGGTGAAAATCACTAATGATATTCTCATGGCCTCAGATAAAGACCTGTACTTGTCCTGTTAGATCTCAGTGCTGCATTTGATACAGTTGAACACAATATCATTTTAGAAAGGCTCTAAATGTCTGTAGAAAACAGCAATAGACTGATTTAAATCTTATTTGTCTGACAGATTAATTAATTTCTTGGTACCGTAATAATAGTGTATCTTCTTCATGCTTCAGAGTTACTTCTGGAGTACGACAAGTATCAGCACTAAGGCCATTTCCGTTTACTTCATTCAATTAATTTTATTTATATAGTACCAATTAACAACACATGTCATATCAAGGCACTTTACAGAGACAATTGAACCAGGTCATAATGTCAGATAGGTTTCAAGTTTTCTATGTAAGAAAAAACAGTTGATTGCATTGAAACATTGACTTTGAAGGACTCCCATTTGGCCTCTGCAGAAGGTTGTTCACACTGAGCCTGATTCTGTTGGAGGTTTCTTCCTATTAAAATTTTTTTTTTCCTCTTATCGGTCTCTGTATGCATGCTGAGGCTGTGAGGGTGGGTCAGAGTCAACAATACAATGCAAGCAAATGTCCACTATCGCCACATTAAAGTTTTCTGTTGACATATTGTTAACCAGGAGAGGCGAATCCTGCCAAAGTTGATGAATCAATGCAATCAGCTGGGTTTTCTCAGAAACCTTTTAACCAGTCCTAACACTATTATTTGATTGTATTGTCTCTAAAGTGTCTTAAGATGACGTGTTTTGAATTGATGCTATATAAATAAACTGAATTGAGACAAAACTTCATAGCTAAAGTTATCAAATTAATTAATTAGTAATTTTAGCAAAGTAACTTAATACAAGTTTAAGGCTGCGTCAGGTTGTGCAACATGGTAATTCCATTATATGGATGGTGCATGTACACAGATCTACATAAATAGCTACATGTGTAAAATTATTACTTATTTAGCAAACACACATATTCTATCTAATTTAGTGTTCAATGGCCTAAAAGAAATCAATAAAGCAAAACTAATGACCATTGCCTTGCAATGGTCAGCTAGACTGGAACATTTTTCTCCATTTACAGCTCTTTTCACACACACACCATCAGTCAAGCACACAAAGCTAAATGTTCTCTGAATTGCTCATAGATGTTAGTAATGTCTCCCTGTGTGATGTGCATTTCTTCGCTGTTAATCAGTTGGTAAATCCCTCCCCAGGAAGGCTTTGATTGGCGGAGCAGCTTCCTGAAATATTCAATCAGACACCTTGCTCGCAGCTGTGATTGGACGCAGCCGGTGCAGTCATGTAAATGAGCACCTGGCGGCGCCTGCTGGCGCGGCTGCTGAGCCTGGAGAGCAGGCGGTGCGTCCGGGGCTCACATTTAGAGACAGACTGGAGAGCGGATGTCTTCTGCTGTGCGCTCCTTATCTGTAGCTTAGATATGAAATCCATTAGTTGGTGACAAGTCTTAGAGAGGTATGTATTTTTAAAATGACAAGTGAAATGGGAGTTTACAGCCAGAGCGCTTTTCTGTAACGTGAGTTTTGGCTGAACTGCACTCTCCGGAATCTCCTGGATTATTCTTAATCATTCTGGTGGACTGGTGTTGTTCAAGGCTTTAAAAAAAAAAACAGTTTATCTTCTAAGTTTGGACCAGTCTTACGGAACTCCTCTCCCCTTTTTTCTTTCTTCCCACCACCCCCCCCCCCCCCCCCAAGGTAAGTAGTCCACTGGACAGATTCGCGTAAAGCTACTGCGCCTTTCCTCTCCGAGCTCGTTTACTCCGTAATAAGCGTCTGTAATATTATTTCAGCGGGTATTTCCAGCCTGCTGTGTTTGTCTGTGTGTTTGTCTTGTCTTGGCGTCTGTGAGTCTCGGTGTGATTGCAGGCTTGTAGAGACGCGGATCAGCTCTCAGCAATGCGCCCCAAACGCGCGTGTGTATAGAGGACAAATTGGGCATCAACCGCCTGCTTTGGAGAAATAAGCTGATTGTGCGCATCATGGTGTTGAACTTTTTACGTATTACAACCTGGGGCACAGTTATAATTTCTATGTGAACTTTAAGTGAACAGGACTAAAACGGGGATAAAGCTATAATGTGAACCATCATGTGCAGCTCTGGGCGTTTGTTCAGGATCTCAGATGTCTTGGTTGGCTGGAAAATGTACCTCCTCCCAGTTTTTTTACGTTTTTTGTTGTCTCCTTAATTGGAATTTCTTCTAGGATTGTTGTATATTTGGTTCAGCACGCAAATAAACAAACAAACAAAAAGACAACAAAAAAAGTGTCCCAGAGGCATGATGCTGCCACTACCATGTTTGGTGATGAGCATATAAGATTGCGCATTTAGTTTTCTGGCGCAAGTGGTATTTTGGGTATAATCGTTTTCTTCCTGCCAGTCTACCCTAATGTCACATTTTTGTGGTGAGGTGACTAATAGTTGACATTTTCAATACGTTTCTCTTTTTTTTCCCTCCATTTGATTTCTTTATTTCGTCTTGCTCTGATCTATTAGAAACATTTGACTTTTAACATTTTTTTTTTGACTGGATTTTGTTGGATATCCTCTTTGAATTATGTGAAACGTTTAAACGCTGTAACATTTTTGTAGCAAAGACTCAATATAAGTGACACTCAAAAACATAATGCAACTTTTTTTGGCATATACTTAATCTATTTAGTTAACACCATTTTTTTTCAGGTCCCACCATGATAACATGAAACAATAGTGTTAAAGATACTAAATATGATTAAGTAGATGCCAAAAACAGTTAGGTTATATTTTTTCAGTCAGCTGGACGCCCTATCACACAAACACAAATAGGCAGTCATCTTCATAGTAGCACAGGTGACCTTCTGTAAGACCATCAGCTCTGAATTCCTTCTGTTTCAGCATTAAAGGAGGAGCTGGCTGATCACTGGAGCCAAAACAAAGCCGGGCTGCAGAAAAAGTGCAGCATTGATGCAAAAGATATTTCATTGCAGTTTGAATCACTGGGAAAAGAGGAGCATCAGTAAAATGATCGCTCACTCTGGAAGCTGAACTGTATAAATAATTAACTAGGTTGTGTTAAAAAACTCTACAGCTCTGACTTGGAGGGCAAGGTCAAAAAATGGGTGGTTTTGCAAGTTCTTGTGTGTTGTCTTCTGTGTTGCCAGCCTGTTCTAAAGTGAAATGAAGGTAGCCAGATGGATATGTTTAAACAATCAGTTCAGTGGGTGGTCAACCTTTTTCTAGCACAAAAACACATTGAGCAATATGTCAATGTCAATATGTTGGCTAGGGGTCACTGAGTAGGTACACCTGAGTAGGTGTTGCATTGTTAAATTGTTTGGAAGAAGGAGGAGGAGGGGTGCCTTCGCTTCTTACAAGTAGATAGAGGCTATAAAGTGCCACCCCCCACCCCCGTCCCTCCTTCTTCACCCCTGGAGCAACGGCTGAGGCATAAAAGTGAAAGGGAAGTCGAAGTGTGATGCACAGTTCCTCCCAGCCAGCACATGTCTGCTGGATCACCGTCTAATGGGCATCTGGCCGTTAATTCTTCCACAGCGTCCCAAGAGAGCAGTTGGCCCTGCGAAGCTGCTTTTTTATCAGCTGTGCGGCCCGAGGAGTCTCGGAATATTTCAAATAGCTGGACAGGCTGGCTGTGTGAGTAGACATCCATGTGCATGAACTGAAGGGCAGTTTGATATTGATTTGTCTTTGTGTTGGCAATCTTGGGACAAAATTACATTTATTGCAATGGTATGATTTGTGGAGAAGTATGGCCTGCATTTTGGGAGTGGCTGCTGGCTCCTTTGTTGGTTTAAGAGACGTGAAGACTTGGCAAGAGTAATCTTAGGAAATATTTTCTTATACAAATGGCTCAGTTAAACTAAGCAAAACTGGATTTAGTAAAGGGTAAAGAATAAAAAAACACGGTGTAAGTGCTTTTACTTAAAGTAGTAGAGCAATAATTATTTTTTTTGCCATTACGATAATATACCTTGTTGGTTATTATGTCTATAATGATGTGATCTGTTAGATTTGCTTATTATATTGATTACCAATCCTCTACAGGGCTCCTTGTGATAACTTAAGACTTGTATGCCTATTTAACATCAGACAAAAAGACACAGCCGTGTCAGTTTTTAACTTTTCAGTTTTTAAATACATCATACTAATTTTAGGGTGAAAACATTTAATTAGATTAATTGTGATTAATTGATTATTGAAATGCATGTCATCTAATTTAGTTACTATTTAGTTGTTAATTGGAGTATAGAGACTCTAAATATGCCTTTAACTGACAGAGCACCCCACTTAGAGCAGTAATTATACCAAGATGCCCTGTCCAGAAGTCTTCAAGTGGAAAAGTTGTAGTTTAACCTGGTTTAAAATCTGTAAAAAAAAAAAAAAAAGATCTTCTTTAACAAACCTTTTGCTATCAAATTTATAATCGACTATCGACAGATTAATCGATTGGCAAAATAAGCAAAAGTTTAAGCCCTAATTTTTTTGTTTCAGAAGTGCAAAACAACGATTTAGTTTTGAATTTAGACTTTTTAATTTAGTTTCTTTATCAATTAACTACACAAAGTCCTGAGTTTTTAGTATTGATTCATCTATCAAACCGAATTATATCGATTTGTTTTTTTTTCACATTTTCTGTAATGCTGTAAATATGGCATTAATCTGGCATATAATTACATAGAGATATGAAATAAGCATCTAGATGCTAACTCACTAAGTTTAGTGATAGCTTTCATGCAAAGTTGCGCATAGCTGTAAATATATCTGCTGTTGATAGAAACTGATTAATTAGGCAGTCTTTTGGCCTTGGGTAGAGCCTGCAGTCAACTGTTTAGCACAGATGTTCCTTGAAGCTTATAGACTGCAGTTTTAAAACGGTGTTACCATACTATGAGTGATGGTCCTTTAGGATTTTTCAAAACTAATGATAAGAAATGTAAAAAAAAAAAACAGTAAATATTTTCTTTCTCTATATGAAGAGAAAGAATAGAGGCTTCCTTCATCGAGCTGACAAGAGGAGAGCAGCAATTGGTGTGTTAGGTACCCACAAAATAATTGTTTTAAACCTTTACTCTGGGTTGAGTGTACATTTATTTATTTTAGTTAAATAAGCAAGAGCACAGCATTTGAAAAGGAATTGAAAAAGCTTCCTGGATGGGAACCAAAACGTCTTTAAACTTGGAAACAAAGTCCAGTGTGTTTATTTTTAACCTTTTTGGAACAAGAGCACAGCAGCATCACTCAATATATGATCTAATATATTGGTTGTCTTTGTATCCACATGCAGGGTTTTTGTCCCATTAATATAATTTCTGAAAAGACCTGTACAAATGGGTTTCAAAGCCAAAAAATTAAGAATCCCTTGTGTGCCTCAATGTAGTGTGGCCCTCACATGCTTAAATTATTGTGGCTTTTAACGCCACAGCGATGCATTTGAATAAGATCAGAGTTATTGTTTTGCTGCCCTTGGTTTTAGACTGGGCTGCTCAGTGGCGCAGTGAGTAACAATGCTTCCTTGCAGCAAGAAGGTTCCGGGTTTCAATTCCCGACCCCAGGGTCTTTCTGCATGGAGTTTGCATGTGTGGGTTCTCTCCAGATACTCCGACTTACCAGGTTGATTGGTTTCTCTAAATTCTCCTTAGGTGTGAGTGTGTGTCTGAATGGTTGTTTGTCCTGTTTGTCTCTGTGTTGCCCTGTGATGGACTGGTGAAATATCCAGGGCGTACCCCGCCTCTCGCCTGTAGACAGCTGGAGATAGGCACCAGCACCCCTCGTGACCCCACTTGGGATAATCGTGAAGGAAAATGGATGCAAGGTTTCAGTCTGGTTAATCATTGTTTGTCTCACATAGTGAGTTGTCTCTGTTTGTTGAGTGCTGTGGATAGACTTTCAGCAGGTGAACAGAGAGCCTGAAGCAACTTTGAATTTGTGTCAGTTGAGTCATTGTGTGGGTCCTGTGCGATAATTGAGCCTCATGTTTTGCACAGTTGCCTGATCTTTATGGCTAACAGTCCAACGTGCCTAGTAAATCACATGAACGAGCACGGTGATGATAATGGGTGTTTTCAATCCATAAGAGCAGTTTTTTGTGTGTCTCTTCTTTCTCAGCAATCATGTATTAATCAGAAAGGCTGAGTTTGCTCATAATTGGCTCCCGACAGGCTGAGCAAAAAGGCCGGTGGAAGAATCCATTCAAGACCACAGAAGCAGCACAGCTACTCGTTTCTCTCTCTCTCTTCAGTCAACTATTTAATGGGAAAGAAAACTAATTGAAGACACAACTCAGCTGACCACCATGCTTCTCTAAATAAATTTCCCCTTTAAGCCTAGCTCTTCAATTACCTTTGCAGAGAGCAGGGTGTCATGCATGTCCGGCTCAAACAAACAGCCAGACAAGTAAATTAATTAGTGATGAGACTAGACAGGATTTGTGGTTTCCCTGAGTTTCAGGGATCGGGGAG